GGGGTCGAGGCTGTCTGGGGTCGAGGCTGTCTCCCGTTGCGTTTCGTGCGCTGCAGGTGTCCCGTTTTTTTCTGGCGATTGGACAGTACACGAGGCTGTCTCTTATACACATCTAGATGTGTATAAGAGACGAGAACAAAATCAAATGAATCTACCGCTAGAACATGGAAATATACATTGCGCACATGCGCGCAGCACACCAGATGTGCGCAGCGCAGCGTGCAGCGCGCACTGCGCACCCAGATGTGTGGCGCGTGCCGGTGCGCGCGCACCCTGGGTCCGCGCACAGCGCACCGCGCAACGCACGGTGCCGGTGCGCCGCAAGTATGATATTTTCTCTCACCTCACATATTTTAACTGGCGTTCTGCCGTGTCATGGAACATATCTTTTTCCTTTCGCGACCTACCACTACTCCTAAGGCTATACAGGGGACCCCTGCAAACAAGGCTTTCTACCTCTCTTCGGTGAAGGGAGGTTACCCCTCTCGGTCGAGGGAGGTAACAGCATGTTTGCCCCTTTTACCCTAGCGTTTAGGGTGCAGGGTTGGGGCCGCAGGTGGGGCCCCGGCTAACACAAGGACCGAGCAGTTGCCAGTAACTGTGCCTCCCTTTTCATCTTCCCCCACACCCATCGGGTAACAGTAGTGTCTAGACTCTACAGCCAACACTATCCCACACACCACATGCAACCCACTTACACACGCACTCACACCCATGTTGGCTGAGGACTTACTAATACCGACTGGGAGGATCCAGCTGACTATCTCAGTTCGTTGGCACCGAGCGTGCCACAGGCGGGCATGGGGGTTGAACCCACAACCTCCTGAATGTCACTTGCGTGCCTAACCAGTTGAGCTAGGCAGCTGGATTCTTTTCTCTTTTTCACGACGACTTCTTCTTTTGGACGACTTCTTCTTTTTGGATGCTTGTTTCGTTTTTCGTGGTTTTTTTTTTTGTTTGTTTTTTGTTCATTGCGGTGAGCATGAATCTCCAAGCTTGTTTCCCATGGTTTGAGCAAAAATTTAATATCAGGAGCAAAGTGGTTTAGGACCTGGCCGCGGGCAGGGTTTGGCGCCAGTGCCACTACGGTACTGGCGGTTGAAGTTCTTAACAAGTAATAAATACTAATAACTGAAATTTGAAAGGCATGGCCATTGGCCACTTCACTTTCCCTGTCTCATCGGTCTCAAGGGAAGCATTTGTGTGAGTTGTATCATTTCTTGGAGCCTCAACACTGATGCAACATAAACGGAGTCTGGAGTTAGGCCCTTCCGGTCTGTGCCTGTGAAGGGGCCGATTTGGGGAGGGGGAAGGGAACAACTTCCTGATCAGCCAGTGGGTTTTGCTGATGTGCTGCAGCCAGTGCATGGGTCTCAACTGCTGCCTCCTGCCCGGGCAGAGGTTGTTGAAGCATAGGACTCCTTGAGACGTCTTTATTCCAAGAAGATGCCTTGTCTTTTCCTTTGCATGGCATGTTCTTTCATTGGGGGACATGTGACGGGCCCACCCTTCCCGAGGACAGCATTTGGCTCATGCTGCTTTCGCCAATGGTTTCAGATTTAGAGTGGTTGTGTGTTAACCACTGGTTCGTTATTGTTATTTTCAGTCCTTGTGAAGGTAGCAAGTGGCATTTTGTGTACTTCCTAAGGGTGTGTGGGACGGGTCGCTGCAGGGGGTTTGGTGTTGAGGGGGGTTTCTGAATCCTTCACTGGGGGGGAGGGTAGTAAAGCAGGGAGGTTAAGAAGTCCATTGCATCCTGAGATAACCCCTCCGCCTCAGTCGGTAAATCCGCCATCGCCTCTACCTTGGGTGACCTTCAATCAGGTTCAATGGTGCTCGTCGTTGCCCATCCCCCGCCGCTCCAGTCTTCTGTCCGCACCGCTCCCACTTTCTCCCGTCTCTCCCTATCGTCCTTCCCTCTCTCACTTCCCCTTCCCTTATGTTGACGTCGTGGCTCCACCTCCCGTCTGTTGTGGTTATCTTCTTTATTCTCGGTCTCGTCCCTCTCCTTTCTCCTGTTTCTTCCCCCCGTCTTGACTGATACAGCACAAGTGGGATCTGGACTTGTCCAAGACAAATGGAGTCTGGAGTCTGGACTTGTACAAGACAAATGGAGTCCGGAGTCCGGACGGATACAACACAAATGGGATCTGGAGTCTGAGTCTGTAGTCTGGAATCTGGACTGATGTAACACAAATGGAGTCTGGAGTCCAGAGTCCAGACTGATACGACACAAATGGGGCGTGGAGTCTGGACAGGTACAAGACAAAATGTGTGTGGAGTCTGGAATGGTACAACACAAATGGAGCCTGGACTGTGGAGTCTGAACTCTGGACTGATGCCCCACAAATTGAGTCTGGTCCGTGTCTGGAGTCTGGATTGATACGACAGAAACGGAGTCGGGAGTCTGGACTGACACACCACAAATGGAGTCTGGGAGTCTGTACTGATACAACACAAATGGAGTCTGGAGTCTGGAGTCTGGACTGACACACAAAAATAGAGTCTGGAGTTGTATCATTTTTGACTTGGCAGTGGAGAAACAACTGCACTCTGGAGTTTGGAGTCTGCTCTGATGCCCAAATAGAATGGAGCCTCAGCCATTAGACTGCAATTTCAAAATCTATAGATAGACAAAATTGAAAGGTATGGCAATGGCAATGGCAATAGCAATAGCAATAGCAATGGCAAAAGCCATAGCAATGGCAATAGTGATGGCAATAGCAATATCAATGGCAATAGCAAGCTGGCAAACATCATTTTCTGGCGTTGGTCTCATCTATCATTCAAATTTTAAAAACTGCCTTTACTAGGCTTTTAGTGAAAATTGAAATATTTTGCTGGCATGACGAAATTGAGTTTTTTTTTCTCAGCGATTTGGTCCGGATTTTGAAGTTTCCGCAAGATGGTATGTATGTCCACGGATGCTGTACTGTACCTTCATCTTACATGCTCTCAATCGAGTCTTTTGGATGTACCTAGTCGCGTATATGACCAGATTAGTCTATGCTCATGGGAGGATGATCAAACCACAACACCCTTCCATTGCCACATGCAGTGGTCAGTGTACTCATCGGAGGATGATCAAATCACAATACCCTTTTCAAGCTCAATTTCGCCACGCCAGCAAAATATTTCAATTTTAACTAAAAGGCAGTTCAAAGGTTATGTTTCCCTCACATCACACCACTGTTTCCCTGCATCGGTGGGAAGAAGCCAAAAAGCCTGTTCTTTGAGGATTGGACCTCAGACTCCCTTCCCCCAGGTCGTTCTACCCCTCTCTACAGGGGGTAGAAGGAGCTTGCTGCATTCCAGGCTTTTAGCAGGTGAAGGCTGACCTTTCTCATGCCTCTATGCTCGTCCGGAGAATCGTGATAACCTACACGAACACACACGCCTGTGGAAAGACGGCAGCAGCATGCGGAGGAAAGTGATGAATACCCATGATGAGGCTGTCGCCAGCAGCCGAAACTTGTTGAGGTCCTGTTATGTCAAACGACCATAGCAGTTTTTTTTTTTTTATGTTCTCGTGCCAACATCGTTTGTCTTGATCTGTTATCAATTGTGTTTTTCTATGATCCATGTGGAACCACGTTCACTCATATGTTGACGGATTGCTGACAAGTTGTTTGTTCTCTGTCGTCATTGTACTGCTTCTCACCCTCTGACCTTTCGAATATGTGCAGTGGATATTAATTTTCTCACCATTATGGGGAATTCTTCTCGGCTCTTTTGGCATTCTACCTGTAGTCAGCAGAACTTCAGACCTGTTGGTATATACAAGCTCCTTTTCCTTTACCTGTGGGATCTCATCACCCCCCCCCCCTCC